ACATGTGTCAGAATATTGTCTGTGTTTTTCAAGTTAAATTTAAATTAGAAATACAAAAGCATGTGTACATGATTTAAATAAATGAGACCTTTTGCAGGGCTTATAATGAACAGCAAACACCTGGAGTCTTAGCTTTCTCCCTCTGCCCATGTCTGAGATTCTATTCTAAATGTACTCTTCTCCGTCTCTCCACCCACAGGTAAATGGAGCCCTCACCTGCTGCTTTTCTGTGGCAGTGGATCGGGATTTAGCTCACAGCCTCCCTCTCCCTCCACCTGTCTCCTCACACCAGTGTAGATCCTGTTTAAGTTCCTCTGTTGGCCATCTTTGAAATTTTTCAACAACACACTTTTGCCTTTACTTCTTCCGCCAACTGAAATTCTTTTGACTGTTCCATCTGGATAACATAGAAAGTGTTTTTAAGACATTTCCTACATTCCAGGCACTCCTCAGGATTTCTACATAGATTAACTAGTTTAATACTCACAATAACCACATCAGATTTCAAATAGATGTCCTTACTCTTCCTATTTTTGAGATGGGAAACCAAGGCCCAGAAAGGGTAAGCCACTTGCTCCGTGTCACAGAGCTTTGCCCATGGCAGAGCCTGAGCTGCCCCTGGTAACTTTTGTATTTTGTTTTGAATCACACAAGGAATAAGTAAATTATTTCCTTAATGGCTATAACTGGGGTTTATTAGAGCTCTGCCAGGGTACACTTAAGAGCTGTGCACACAATTGTATGTAAATTTTACATCAAAGAACTGCAAACAAATATTAAACTCTAGTTAATGGTATGAGCACTGAAGTGTTGAGAGGAAAGTGTGCAGATGTCTGTGACATACTAAAATAGGAAAAAAGTAAGATGGATGGATAGACACCAAAGCAAATATATTCAAATGTTGATTGCAATATCTAGGAGTGAGTATGTGGGTGTTCACTGTACAATTCTTTCAACTTTGCTGTATGTTTGAAGTATTTCAGAATAAAATGCTAGGACATCTGTCCTTAACTTCCCACAGGAAAATCTATCTTCTCCCACCTGGACAGGCAAGTGGTCCCTCAAATTCAATGCATCGCACTTGGGTTTATCTACAAGTACTTCCCCACAAAATGGTTCCTCTCCCTGAGTGTCCTCCTTGAAGTGGGTTCTGATTCACCAGGCCCGAAAGCTACGAGCTGCCAGTGACCATTGGGTCCCAGGATTTATCTTAGGGTGACTAACTGTCCTCCCAGTTTACCCAAGACGGAGAAGGTTCCTGGGATGTGGAACTTTGTATGCTAAAATCAAGAAAGGCCTTGGGTAAACTGGGATTAGTTGGTCCCCTAACTATCATTTCTGCCTCTTAAACATGTTCAGTTTATCCAAACTGTCACTACCCTAGACTATAATAATAATGCACTTAATAGTGATGGTAAGAATAATCATAAGCATATATAAGGCAGCTGGCTTATAGCGAGTGATTGCTATGGGCAAGGTCTTGTTCCTTATGATCCGTCTGTGGCAGGTCTTTTGATCCACACAACAGTCTGTATTGAACAACTGTAACATCACCCGTGTTAAAGGTGAAGAAATAAGGCCCAGAGAGGTAAAGTCTCTAGCAACAGTCACACAGCTAAATGACAGCTGAGGAGCTGCAATCCAAACCCAAGCAGATGGCTGCAGAGCACCCAGGCTCAACCACCTTTGAACAGCCATCTGGAATGCTGAATGACTATTTACATAAATATCATTTTCCTGATTATAAAAAAATATTACCCACTTATAATTTGTAAAGAGGAATTCCATAAATAAATCAATAAAGTATAAAGTAATCATTTACTACAGCAACACTTCCCAGAGGATACCACTCTTAATCTGGTTCCTGTTGGCACCAGAATTTCTTCTTGGTGTGTAGCAACCAAGCACTGGTAGTTTTGTATCAAGATATAGTGTGACTGGGGCTGCCGATTGGCTTAGGTGGTTAGAGCTCAGGTTCATAACACCAAGGTTGCCGGTTCGATTCCCACATGGGCCAGTGAGCTGCGCCCTCCACAACTAAATTGAAAACAATGACTTGATTTGGAGCTACTGGATCCTGGAAAAACACACTGTTCCCCAAAAAAACTTAAAAAAAAAAAGATATAGTGTGATCGATTGATAGGTAGATAGATAGAGAGATAGAGAGAGAGAGAGATACAACAATAGAGAGAGGTAGAGAGATATAGGTAGATAGAGACAGATGAGAGATAGATAAATTGATAGATATAGATATATAATCGATAGATGATATGGATCTGCTTTGTCTTGCTCTTTTCCACACTGATCTTGTAAAAACACAGCTTGGACCCCATCCCCCTCCAAACCTGTCACCCTCCAGATCAAGTCCTGACTCCACAACTCCAGGCCATTGTTCCTATGTCCTCTTTAGCCTCTGTTCCCCAACTCCTGATACCGTCCACTGGCCTCCCCCCTCAGGCTCTCCTCACACCACATGCACCAGTCTGGCACCAACCTCCCTTCACATTACGTGCTTGTCAGAAGTAATGGTAGCCCCATGCCCCATCTGCCCCCATTGAGTGTATATTGGTTGTGCACTCAGACCTGTTTTCATGAGAACTCTTGGTGGGGAGGGTGAGGGAGGGTGCTTGACAACAGTAGAGGTTAGGGAGTGGGTGATGGGGAGGGGTGCTAATTGTGTCAGGGTGTCAGGGTAGTCCGAGGAGGTGGCATTTAAGCCAAGTACTCCATGACAGGAAGATGAGGGGAGAGTGTGGTCCAGTGGAGGGAACAGCAAGTGCAAAGGCCCTGAGGTGGGAATAAACTGGCCTCAGTGTAACTTGAGCACTGTGACCCGGCGGTGAGAGAGATGCAGAATCTAATCAGGGGTGACTAAAGTATCTCCAAGAGTTGTGTCTGGGTCAGATTATCAATACTACCACCAACAATGTTAGAATTGGAACCAGCTGTAGAGGACTGGCTGGGATAAGCTGGGAGGTGGGGAACAGGAAGTGTGCACATTCAGACAAGAAGGAAGAGGGGTCCTGAAGGGGCACCTCTTCACTCCATCATCCCCCAAATAATTCCTGAGCAATCACCTGTGTGCCCTGGATTCTAGATGCCAGAGAAACAAAGCAGGGAACAAGGCCCAGAAAGTTCCTGGCCCCTTGGAGCTCACTCTGGTGGGAAGACAGAAAAAACAAGGTAAACAGGTATGTGGTCTGCCAAGTCAGGATAAGGGCGACAGAGAAAACTGCAGCAGGAGAGGGAGTCAGAATGGGGCGAAGGGGTGCACTTTTGATAAATTAAAGAAACACAAGTACAATGGGAAGGGAGCCATGGGGTGGGGGTGGGGAGGGTAATCTGGAGAAGGAAAAGCCTTCTAGGCAGGTGGAACAGCAAGTGCCAAGGCCCTGAGGTCAGAGCATGGCCCTATTCCTGGAAGGGTAAGAAGGCCAGATGAGTGGTAAAAGCAAAAAGAGAGGTGAGTGAGAGCAGAGCGTCCAGACGCCAAAGGAAGAACTCATCCAAGGCATTGACGCTGCTGCTGGGAAGCAAGGCAGTATTGGAGGAGGAGCGAGTCTCTGAGCCAAATTCTGATCCACTATCACAGAAAATCAGCAGAACAGGGCTCCCCTGGGCAAATGGTGGGAGAAGAGCTTATTCAGAACCCCAGAGGTGAGCAAAGAGATCTAGCCAAGAATCCACAAGCTTCATTGCACACGCTGCACAAAGTCTTATTTATTTTAGTCATGTGCACATGCTTTTGTGATTTTTAATTTAAAAAACATTAACACTTTAAAAATTTATAAAATGGTATCACTAAGTATTCCATTTTTCCAAAGACAAATGTAGGCATAGAAAAATCAACAGAAAAAAAAGTTCATGGATAATGACTCTCCAAGTGAGTGTCATCGTTTTCTTTGTGCTTTTCAGTATGTTCCAACTTTTCTATAAAGACCATGTATTACAATCAGATAATAAATATAATTTTGTGTGATCTTAAAAATAATACAGAAAGGATAGAAGGTTATCCCTAAAACACCCTTGTACCCATCACATGAAGAAGCAAATGTTAACAGTTGGTCCTAATTGCTTCTGATAGTTTCCTTTTGCCTTTTTTTTTTTTTTTTTGTGTGTGAAAGAAAACAGTAGGGATAAAGTTGAAGCCCTTTTCCCAGCCTCCCCGCCTTGTCCCTAAGTCCCAGTTCCATCCCCCTCACCCCACCCCCATGTCCCCAGAAAACAAGCCCTGACCTGAATCTGGAGTGAGGTCTGTGTTTCCTGTGTTTACATTTAACTACAGATATGTTAAGAGGAAGTGTGCTTTTGGTTCAGCTGGCAAAATAACTAACAGGGTTTTTTAAGCAAAACTCCAAACAGCACATAAGTTATAAAATAGAAAGAGAACGCCCCACCCTACCCCCAAAGAAAGGCGAGTGATTAACAGCTAGAATATAAATTTCTCCAGCATGTCAGCCCCAGCAGGGTGAGATTTCCTGTCTGTCCTGTTCACTGCTGTGTCAGCCAGTACCAAGGCTTACGGTACAGTGAGTGTTCAGAACATGTTGAATACATTTTTCAGTTCTTGGGCCCTGCCCATTTTCAAAGTAAACTATTTTAATTGGGAATAATTTTAGATTTATGGAAAAGTTGCCAAAAAACAGTGCAAGGAGCTCCATTACAGTCCTGTCTGCCCACCCTATGGTTAATATCTTCTAGAACCATGATCCACTTGGAACTATTAAGAAATTATGTATCTTGGTTGTGATACAATTCATGAAACTCCAGGCTTTATTTGCATGTCACAAGTTTTTGCACCAATGCCCCTTTTCTGGCCCAGGATCCCACATTTCATCGTGTCCTCCTGTCTGTTGGGTCTCATCCAGTCTGTGACAGTTCCTCAAGCTTTTTATCTTTTTCATAACTGGGACGTTTTTGCAGTGCACTGGTCAGGTCTTCTGTAGAATATCCCTCAATTTGGGTGTACCTGGTATTGTTCTTCTCATCAGTTGCCAAGGGTTACTGGTTACTGGAAGAAACACACAGAGGTGAGGTGCCCTTCTCACATTATGTCAGAGCCAGGTGATATCAAGGAGACATACCACTACAATGTAGCCTGGACGTCTGGTTGAGGTGGTGTCTGCCAGGTATCGCCACTGTAAAGTTCCCATCTTTTGCTTTTCCATACTTTATTCATTGGATGAGAGTCAATAACTCTTTTGAGCCTGGTCCACACTCAAAAGGAAGCAGGAAGGAATGAGTTCTAGATCTGGAGAAAGCTTTCAATTTACATTCTTTAGAATTCTAATGGCTCTTTGGCCCTCACACCCATTTTAAAGACCGGAAAACTGAGGTTGAAGACGACAGACTGCCCCACTAGAGGGTGGCCCAGCTGAGGGTGAGGCCCCACCCAGAGCTGGATCGGGGCTGTGGTGCCCCAAGTGTGAAGGCAGGTGGCGACTCTGGGCCTCTGTGGGGGAAAGAGGAAAATCCGTTCCGGAGCCCCCCTGCCGGGCTCCAATCGTTGGGTATGGACCGCCCTCTGAGGTGTGTTACCCTATTTTACAGATGCGCTGCCTGCGCCCCGCAGGCGGAGGTGTGGCGGCGCTGGGTGGACGAACAGGTTTCCGGGGCGCAGCCAGCCGGGCCAGGTGCGGAGCCAGGTGTGGAGCGCTGGGCCCCAGAGGTCACCTGGGCCGGGCCCGGGCCCGCGGGGCAGAGCGAATGGGCCACTGCACCTGAAAGTCCGGCAACCCCCGACTACCAGCACCCCGCGCTTCTGCAGCTCGGCTCCCGGAGTGCCTGCCCTTGACCTTAATCACCGGCCGCGCTGGCATTAGGTGAGACCTGCTCCACTGGTGTAGATGCGGGTGGGCCGCGTCCCGGGGGAGGGGTCTCCGCCTGTCCTCGTGACACACTTCCTGTTTGTCTGGGCTGCAGGAGTGAGAGGGACAAACAGCCAGCTCGTGCTGGGTGACCCAGGCGTTGAATGAGGCGTCCCCATCCCCCTTGGCAAGGGACTAGAGGGATCGGGGCATGAGTGTGCAAGGGACGAATCAGGGAGGGAGGAGGGAGGCAGGAAGGGGAGGGGCACGTCAGGCCACAAGAACAGGGGCCCCACTGCCCGGGCACCTGTCCACCTGTCCTCAATGGGGTAGGATCATTTGGAGAGTGTATGAAGCTGCTGAGAGTATGAGAGTCAAAAGTTTGTGGTCACATGGTGTGTCATCAGCTGCCTCCTGCCTGGGTTCCTCCTGCAGGAATGGGGGTGGGGAAGAGAGGAAGGTATGGGCAGCACTTCCTGGAAAAGGAAGACCCTGCTGTCTGGGGGAGGGGGGGACCCTGGGACACATACTCAGATGTTGTCAAACACACCACACACACCGTACACACAACTCAGGTTAGAGACACAACGTAGACACACACCACCACCCAGGCACAAAATGGACGGACACACAAATCATCATCCCACGTAGTTTCAGCTGAGAATTCAAGCGTGCATCACAGACACAACATGAGCCTTGCCATCTCTGTGTACTCATCTACACAGGACTCCCAGGCACAGCAGATATGTGACCCAGGCAGGCACACTTGGCTACACACAGAAAGCAACTCAGACACACCCAGACAGATACAAGCAGACAAACGTCCTCAGAAAACACGGACACACAAGATATGTGTCTGGCTGGGACAAACACAGCATGTGCAGATAACAGGCACCTCGGGCCCACAACACAAACGAGCTCATGTGGGCAGACAGAGCCTTTGGGGGTGAGTGGGGCTGCATGCGTGTGCCAGGCCCACACTCCAATCCATTGTCCAGCGCTGGGGAACTCCAAGGCTCACATGACCCAAGGGGAGGGCTTCTGAAACAATCCTCGGAGAAACTGCATCATCCTCACTAATGATCCATTTCTGCCTCAGAGAATAAAGGCTCAGTGACCCACGCCAGTTCTGTCCTGGAGCTTACCTGCCTCTTGAAGGGCCCAGCTGACTGACTGGCTTGTGCCTCTGCCAGGGTGAGTGCTGGGCCCGGGATGGGAGGACAGAATGGAACTGCATGGCCACCCTTCCTGGCCTCTGGCAGGACCGTGCCTGCCCCACTTACCCTCCCTGCCAACTCTTTCCCTGAAGTCCCGGGAACTAGGCCCCCTTACCCCAAGGGTTTCTTGCTGGGCCAGAGCAGGGCAAGTGGGAGTCTCAACAGCCTGCTGCCCACACCTCAGCCCCGGGACGCTTGTCTCTCCCCTCCCAGATGGACACAAGGACGGTGCTGCTCATCCTGCAAGCCTCACTGGTGCTCCCCCTGGCTGACAGTACTGCCCCCATCCTGCGCTTTGTGGCTGTGGGTGACTGGGGAGGGGTCCCCAATGCCCCGTTCTACACAGCCCGGGAAACGGCCAATGCCAAGGAGATTGCCAGGACCACAAAGATCCTGGGCACAGACTTCATCCTGTCTCTGGGGGACAATTTCTACTTCACTGGTGTGCAGGATGCCAACGACAAGAGGTTCCGGGTGTGTGCCACTGGAGTGGGGCCGGGGGGAGCGGGACATGTGCAGAAGCCATTCTACCTTTTGACTCTGAAGAAGGCAGAGGGAAGCTGACACTTGTGGGGACCTAGAGCACTCAGTGTCTCTCTTGTCCCCAGCTCCTGACTTGGTGGCAGCATCAGGGTAGCTGCTTGACCCTCGGGTGGGGGGTGCCCTTTCTGTCCACTGCAGGAGACCTTTGAGGATGTGTTCTCTGCCCCCTCCCTCCGCAACGTGCCCTGGTACGTGCTGGCTGGCAACCACGACCATCTGGGCAACGTCTCAGCACAGATCGCCTACTCCAAGATCTCCAAGCGCTGGTGAGCCTGACCCCCACCCACTTCCCACGTCTCGCTCAGGTGGACAGAGGGGCCCATTGGCCTGAGCTTGACCCTGGGGCCTCTCCACCCAACATGTGCGCCTGCCGTCTCTATCCCTCCACAGGAACTTCCCCAGCCCTTACTACCGCCTGCACTTCAAAATCCCACAGTCCAATGTGACCGTGGCCATCTTCATGCTGGACACAGTGACACTCTGTGGCAACTCGGACGATTTCCTCAGCCAACAGCCACAGAGGCCCCGTGATGCACAGATGGCTCGCACGCAGCTGTCCTGGCTCAAGAAGCAGCTGGCAGCGGCCAAGGAAGACTACGTGCTGGTGGCTGGCCACTACCCGGTGTGGTCCATTGCCGAGCATGGGCCCACCCACTGCCTGGTCCACAACCTGCTGCCACTGCTGGCCACTTACAAGGTCACTGCCTACCTGTGTGGCCATGACCACAACCTGCAGGTGAGAGGCCTACAAGTGGGATGGGGTGGGGAGCTAGGTAAGGGGTCCCCATCCCAGTCGGTGTGCCACATAGCACATTGGTGGTCTCCCAAATGTTACTGTCCCTCAAACTCTATGCTCTTTAACCAAGAAGACAACCCAACGTTCCCTAAAAGCCATCATAATAGCTACCGGTTGCCAATAGCTTACTCAGCGCAGACTTGTGAAGTAGGATCAATACACTCTTACAGGTGAGGAAACTGAGGCCCAGAGAGCGTTTGTGTTCCATGCCCAAGGTGACTCTGTAGTCAGGGACCACTTAAGACCCTAGATTCAAGACAGGTGGGCACAAAGCCCGTGGTCGACCTCACTGAGGGGCTGGAGGCCACTGACCCTGGGTCCTCTGTCCACAGTACCTTCAGGATGAGAACGGCATAGGCTACATACTGAGCGGGGCTGGGAACTTCATGGACCCCTCAAGGAGGCACTTTCGCAAGGTTCCCAGTGGCTACCTGCGCTTCCACTATGGGGTTGAGAACTCACTTGGTGGCTTCGCCTATGTGGAAGTCAGCCCCAAAGAGATGAGCATCACTTATATTGAGGCCTCTGGCAAGTCCCTCTTCAAGACCAGACTGCCAAGGCGAGCCAGGCCTGAGCGTTTGTGAGGGGCCTGAGGCAGAGGGGCTTCCCTGCCGGGGAGCGGGGCCCTACTGGGACCCTGCCACTTGGTGGCTTTCTCGGGACTGTGGTCCTGCTGAGCAGGAAGGAGAACCACAGATGCTTCTGAACCCAACGTCCTTCTGTCACTGCCAAATATTCAATAAAAGAATAGATGCAAGACTGAACGTGTGTCACGAGTGTCCCTTTCCTCACCTCTCTGGCAAGTTGTATCACCTGGGTTTGAGAGTGGCTCCCCCTCTTGCTGGCCTGCACCTCCATCTCTGGCCCCATCCACAGCCAACTGGCCCCATACATGGATACAATTTTAAGTAAAGACCAAACAGAAAAAAGGGTACAACACGAAGCAAGCCTTCCTCTCCCATGCCCACCTCCCTATGGGCAGCCACCACCATCATTTTCTTTCCTTCCATAATTGATGCTTCTATAATAAAAACATCCCCCCCTCCCCGCTTTTTATACAAAGCAGCACAATAGCCACACAGTTCTGCATGTGTTCTTTCTAGTTAACCACAACTCTTGTCTCTACTTAACCACAACTCAACTGTTTCTAACAGAACACTCATTTTGTTAATTTCAACATGGTGTTGTTAATATGGTCATTTGGCTCAAAATTCTAAAGTTTCACCTTTCTAGGTGAAGCCTCTTACGCCCTCCCTGTCTTTCCCTCCCCCTCTCCTAAAAAGAAATAACATTTTATAAATGCTTTGTTTCCTTCTAGTATCGCTATGCAAATAAAAGCAAATGTGATCTTTTTTCTCCCCTTTCTCACTGATCTGCACCTTGCTTTTTTTTTTTAACAGCTTTCCTGAGGTGTAATTGATACATTGAAAGCATATAGTTCTGTCAGTTTTGACAAAGACACAAACCCACTATCACAATCAAGATATACGCATGTCTTGTGCCCCCAAAGGTGCCCTCTGCACTTTCCTATTCCTGCCTCTTATACCTGGAGATCCACCCATCAGCTCTCAGCGGCTCCTGGCCCCTTTCTCTGGCTACAGAGGCCCCACCGTGTGCCTGACCCACTGCCTATCTAACCAGCCATCTCCTGAGGGTTGCCAGGAGTGCTTCCAATAATTTTGCTATCTTCAAAAAATACTGCAATAAATGACCCTGTACCTGCTTCTTACGTGGGCAGGTATGTTTGTGGAATAAACAAGACACATTTCCAAGAGCAGGACTGCCCTCTTTTTTCACAGCCTATGTCACTGGCTCCTTGCTGGGGCCCACTGAATTCTTCTCCAATCTTCCCCTTTTCACAACATAGCTACAGTGGGCATTCCTGGACCTACACTTTTGTACATGTGTGCAAGTACAAATAAATATGTAGGGAAACTTCCAGAAGTGGCATTATTTCAGAGCCTCTTTCTTATGATGAAGGCTGAAAACAGTGTGCATCCTGAGCTGAAAGCTGCAGAGAAGCCCATTTCCCCTCTGGGGAGAGTTGAGTAACCCCACCCACACGCAGCCCTGCCCAAGCCACCCAGCAAGGCAAGTCAGAAACTTCTCCCTTGGACGGCCCTCAAGTGCCACTTCAGCTGCCACAGGGCAGAGACCGCTAGCTCAGCTGAATGAAATGAAATGACAACCTGGACAAAATGTGACTGAGGTTATTGTTGGGGAGAGGAACTTGGTGGAAGTGGCACCTTCCATTCACTATTTTAGAGATGTCGATGGTGTTGAATTTCTTACAAGGTACATGTGTTACTGTTAAAATTAAGCAAAGCTATCTTACCAAAAGGTCAGCCCTGAATTCCTTCCAGCTGACGTTTACCTGGCTGGTATTACTACCAACCAAGCTTTATGCCAAAAAACCACCATCACTTCTAATTCTGACCCATGAGGCAAGGCCCATAATCATCCTTGCTTCTCAAAGGACATTATAGAAACTGGACAGATTAAGTGCCCAGGGTCATGCCCAGGAGTGATGGACCCTCAATCTTAACCTTGACTGTCAAGGCAACTCACAGCCACCCGACCTCTTCCCAATGACTCAGAGGCTCTGGGCAGGCAAGGGTCTGAATCAGAGGTCAGCCCAATGTCTGCGTTTGCAGGGCCCCGAGCGTGGAATTAGCCCAACGTCCCTGTTCACAGGGCCCAGATGGTGGAAAGGAGAAGTGACACATCCAAGCTGACACAGGGAATGAGTGGTAGGGAGGGCGACTGACCCCTTCCTCCACAATTGCCAGGCACTTGTACCAAGCACCAAGGACCAAGTCCTGTGCCAGATAGCCGAGGACACAAGAATCACCAAAAAAATATGGCAGGGTGGACACTCTCCTTCAGAGGGCTTCTGTCCAGCTCAGGGGACGACACTAATGAGCACATGGCCATTGCTAAAAAGATGCTTTCTAAACTGCAAGGAGCAAGATGACAGAGTTCCTCAAGACCAGTCACAGGGACTCACCTCTTCTCACTCTTCCTAAACAACATTCCTAATTCAGTCATCACAGATATCATGTCGGCAGTGCACTCCTCACACCACATGTTGTGATGGGCACCAGCACCCTCATGCAGCAAGCACACTGTCACCAGGGGAGTCAGGCCACACCCACCTCCTCAACAACTTCCAAGGCCAAGAATCATGAATAAGAAGGTGAGAGACCTGTCTTACTAAACAGCAAAATGCACTGTGATCAAAATAGCACGACACAGGCTCTGAGGAAACGTCCGGAGGGAATCCAGGAACAAACTCAAAAACACATGAGAACATCGTGTAGTTTGAAGGTGGCATTGCAACTTCACAGAAAAGGTATAATTTGCCTTGTCGATTTGCCCAGAAGAAGACAAGAGCCAGAATCCTACTTTCAACCACGTACATTAATAAATTCCAGAGGGATCACATATTTCAGTATAAAAATAAAACAGAAGTTGAAAAATAAACATCCCCACAAAAATCTGAATGAGATGGTTCATAGTAGCCCTATTCATCATTGCCCCCAAAAAGGAAACAATCCAAATGTCTATTAATAGTTGAAAGGATAAACAAGTTGGTATATCCTCATAATGGAATACAACTCAATGATAAAAAAAAGAACAAACTACTAATAGACACACCTGGACCAGTCTTGAAAGTATTGTATACAGTAAGCTGAATAAAAGAAGCCAAACTCAAAAGGCTACATATTGTATGATTCTGTTTATATGACTTTCTGAAAGAGACAAAGCTATAGGTTCTAAAAACAGATCAATTGGTGTCAGGGGATGGGGGTGGGGAAGAAATTGACAACAAAGGCACATGAGGAAACGTCTTGATTGTGTATGGTTTCATAATAGGTGTATGCATGTCAAGACATAAAATTTCATAGTTTAAATACAGACAGTTTATTGTCTGTCGATTATATCTCAATAAGGCTGTGAAGGAATGGAGGGAGGGAGCAAGGCATGGGGGGAGGGAGGAAGAACTAAACTGACAATCTCCAGCAAATAGAGGATTGCCCATATACTGTGGCAGAGTGGCACTATGAATTGCGTCGCTACTAAAAACACGGGTTATCTGTATGTGTATGTGTATTAACCATTAAGTGGAAATAGCAAGTTGCAAGGCAACATGCATAGTATGATATCTCATCCTGTGTATGTTATGTGTTCAGGTTTGTATCAACACTGAGAAGAGGGCAAGGGGAGGGTCGGGGGTCGGGGGGAGGAGTCCTCCAGGAAGGCATCTCCAAGGGTAACACTGCCCCCTAATGGAAATCTTGGAGATAGGTATATTTGATGTCTCAATACAAGTTAGTTATTTTCCTGAACACCCTAATGAAACACCTTTCATCAAGGTCACCAGTGACCAAACACTTGCTAATGTCAACAGTCAATTCTCTTCCTTCATCTTACCTCAAACTCCTAGCCACATATGACAGCTGACTACTCTCCACGTCTTGAAATACCTTTTTCTGGTGGCTTCCCAGAGAGGAAACACACTTTCTCCTCCTCCTTCACTGTCCTGTCCAGCCTCTTGCTGGCTTCTCCTAACCTCTAAGGTTGGGGAGCCCCTGTCTCCCTAGCCCTCTTCTTTTGCTATACTTTGCCTCTCAGCCCTGAAACCCGGTGGCCTCCTCTGGCCCCAAGGCTGCCAATAATCTCCATATGCGTGCGACTCTGAAAATCAAATCCAGGTCTTTCTCCTGAGCGCCAGACGCCATTGCCAATGACCTGTTCCATACCTCCCGTTGCTTGTCTCAAACTTATCCAAAACACAACCCTTGACTTCTCCAAATCATCTTCCTGGGCCTTCCTCATCTGAGTAAAGAGCAGAACCCAGGGCTCCACAGTAGGAGTCATCCTTGACTCTTCTCTCTCCTTCACGCCGTCATAAATTCCACAGGTGCTACTTCTGTCTGTGTAACTCCTACTCAGGCTTTGGATTTCAAGTTGAGCATCAGCCTTCCCTAACCTCTCAGACTAGTTTGGCAACCCTCTCCACCATCGTATGCTTTCAGAGATCCACACACTCCTCCATACTGCACTGAAGACTGTAGTAATTGATCCTTAGTGTTTATGTCCAGACTCTTCACTAAATTGTGGGAACTGTGGAGCCTTGTACCCTCCCCAGCCACTGCCTGCCTATAAAACCTCTGCTATTAGACCCTCAGCAACTCAAAGTGTGGTCCAAAGTGTCATACCAGCAGCATAGATGTCACTGTGAAGCTACAATAGTTGGAAAGGCAGACTTCCGGGCCCCACTCCCGACCTAATGAGTCAGTCCTGAATTGTAATAAGATCCGCAGGTTCTTGTTAAAGTTTGAGAGAGTGTCTTATAAGCTTCCCCCTCACCCTGAATCAACCATACGGGTATTTGCAATTCATTAGCACCGGGATATTTGAATGGGGAGACCTAGGTGGGCTGCGAGGGGCTGGGGTTTGAATAGGAAAAGACAAGTGAGACATCCTCAGGGAAGATGCTGCGACCTAGGACAAGGCTGCCTTTCCAGCGCTGGGATGGCCCAATCCATCGCCCCCTAAAATGTGAGAACCGCCAGCTCTGGAAACTGACCAGGAGTGCCAACGTGCGCGGCTACAGTCAAACGTGCTGAAGCCCTCGCGCAGGCGCACTGCGAAACTCCCGCCGGGCCCACCACACACACACACACACACACACACACACACACACACACCCCGGGCCCAGGAAGGGTGTGGCTTTTG